AGACACCACGTGCAGCCGCTGCCTGAGGCGAGGACACATCGCAAAAGCATGCCGAGCCTCGCGCCCAAATTCCAGGAAACAGCGTTCGCCCCCACGGAGGCACACGTCTCCACCACGACGATCCCCACCGCGCCGCTCACCGCCACGCCGCTCACCGCCCCATAAACCACGTGAGAACAAATGGAAGGGGTCAGCCCGATCCGAAGGGAGGCGCGACCAGAGAAGGGGCTACGACGGCGACCAGGACGAGCGTAAAGTGCATCACATGGTTGTCAGCCACACCAACTCGACTGGCGCGGAAAAGTTTTTCGCAACGGTCATGATCGGGAGGCAACCATGTAAGATGGAGGTGGATACGGGATCCATCTGTTCCATCATGTCGTGGGACAAGCTCAAAAGACTGCTGCCGGAGCTGTCCCACACCGCCCTGGAGAAATCAACGGGACGGCTCGTAGACTTCAACGGCCACGATCTTCGCGTGCTAGGTCGAGCACGGGTGGACGTCTCGTTCCGGGGACACAAAGCTCGCCTGCCGCTAACCGTTGTGGAGGGCCATCGACCCACCTTGCTCGGCGTCGAGTGGCTCAAACCCCTGGGCCTGGGATTCACCGGCCTACACAGAATCCACAAGGAGGAGTTTGAGCAGCTGTTGGAGGAGTTCCTGGACGTGTTCGACGGCTCACTGGGTAAATACCGGGGGAAACCCATTTCTCTGAACCTAGATCCCAGTGTTACCCCGATCCGATTGAAGCCCCGCCGTGTCCCTTTCGCCCTACGACAAAGTGGACGAACAGCTAGACAAACTGCTAGCCCAAGGGGTCATCGAGCCGGTGGACCACGCCAAGTGGGAAACGCCCATCGTCCTCCCCCTTAAGCCAGATGGATCCTTGCGGGTGTGTGCCGATTACAAAGGGACCATCAACAAGGCGTTACAACCCCATGCGTATCCCGTCCCCGTAGTGCAGCATCTTTTACACTCGTTGGGGGACGGGAACATGTTTGCGAAGCTGGATCTCGCTCAGGCGTACCAGCAGTTGCCGGTGGACGAAGCCACCGCAGAAGCCCAGACCATAGTGACTCATCGGGGGGCATTCAAATGCAACCGACTCCAATTTGGGGTGAGCGTAGCCCCAGGACTTTTTCAGAGTGTCATGGAGTGGTTGCTGCAAGGCATTCCGGGGGTGGTGCCGTATTTCGACGATGTCCTCATCTCCGCGACATCGAGAGACCAGCTGAAGGATCGCCTGCGCCAAGTCCTTAGTCGGTTTCAGGCCCGGGGATTGAAAGTAAAAAGGGACAAATGCAAACTAGGGGTCCCAAGGGTAGAATTTTTGGGATTCTTGATCGATG